AAAAGCAGAGGGTGAAATGATGGCCACCAGAGGCTGGGGGTGGAGGGCCTGGGAGACGCTGACCAAAGGATGCAGAATTTTAGTCAGGAGGCTGATGCTCAACAGGGCTGTGGTTCAGAAGGGTGTCTAAAGTTAACAGCAAATGTACCGTCCACATGAAAACTGCTGAAGGAGTGGATTTTTTAAGTGTTTGTGCCATATCAGATGGCAGTGTGTGAGGTGATGTGTCTGTTAATTAGCTTAATTAGCCATTCAATAATACGTACACACTTGGGACCATCGTGTATACCATTCAGGTATATGATGTTTACTTGTCAGATTAGAACTTAAACCAGAAGGAAGAAAATAAGATCAGGAAAAAGTTTTCCATGTCACTTGCACTTTCTAATGCAGGTCCCGAGCACTGTCTACTTAAAGCTGCCTTTCCTCCACCCCACCCCACCCCATCCTTCTTTCTGGGTTTATTTTTCCCCACAGCACCCATCAGAGCAGCTGTATAATTGATACATTTGTCTGTTCGCACGTTTCTCCTCAACCCCAAGGCATGAGCTCCGTGGGTCAGAAACCAAGCCGTCACTTTTACTGCAACTTTCCAGTTACCTGCGTAGTGGCTTTCAATAAATGTTTCCAAGAGGAACAAAGGAAAGAAAGAAGAAAGGGAAGGAAGGAGGAAAGGAAGGTCCTGCGTGCCTGGGATGATCTCAAAAGTAGACAAGAGCGATGTGGACAGGAAAATGAGAGATGACTGAGGAAAACCCGAAACCTAAAGACAAGTACAGCAGCAAATGTCAAACATGCTAACTGTGGTGCTGAGTGTTCCCCAAAGATCGAGGTGGTTGGTCCCTAGCCTATGGGACAGCCGGGAAAGGAAAGACCCTTAAGAGGATGGGCACACAGGGAAGTGAAGTCATGGGGGAGGGGTGCTTTCCAGCCATAACCAGGGGTGGCCAGCTGTTTACCTCCCCCATGCTCTCCCTGCTAGGATGCACTCACTACCCTGCAGCATGTCACCCGAGGCAACAGGACCAAGCAATCAAGGGCTGACACCTCGGTGGCCATGAGTTCAAATAAATCTTTCTTCTTGAGAGGCTCATTCTTACCAGGTGTCTGTTATAACAGAGGAGTGAGGCAGAAAATAATTATCCCAGAGTCCTCTCATTAAGAACTTGGGGTGCATGTTGAAAGGAAAAGGACACAAACTGGCTTCTAAGTTGTTTACATTTAACAGAGAAAGCCTTTTGTCAGCTCTTAACGGCATCAAAGGAAAAAGAAAAATTGCTGTTAACACAAAACTGCCTAGGAGAAACTTCCACGAGATGTTTAAAGTGGTGAGAAAAAAAGGCATTTGAAATAAAGTTTCTAAGCCTGATAACAGGACGTACAAGGAGGAAAAGTAAGTAAACATGTTGATCCAGTACAGCCCTTCAGACTCCTGTGCTCATCTTTCCCCAAAGGCCAGGGCCCCATGTTGCCTCTCACTCTGCTCCCTGCTCCATATAGCCCCGCTCCAGTGCCGACTTCTGCCCGCCCGTCCCCTCAGCTGCCAGACCTCCAGAAACTGCTGTTTTTTAATTCTCCTAAGGCCCAAGGCACACATAGTCAACGGCTCTACCCCGGGTATACACCCAACAGACAGTGCAAGCGAAGAACACAAGCTAGCCAACTCTGGGAAAAAGCCAAATGCTCATCAAGTCACGTAGAACGTAGAATGCTCATCAAGAACACGTCACGTAGTCAGACATTCTAATGCTACACAGCCATGCCCAAAGAATGTGGGATTTACAAAGCTGGGTACACATTCTGCTTGGTCCTGCTCAGACAGGGCTCCAGAGCCTGCACAGTTCATCCACGGTGTGATGATTCAAAACAATGGTCACTTTGGCAGAAGAACTGGGGCTGAAGAGTGAAGAACTCAAGACCTGGAGCGGGCTGCCGCTGTTTTCTCCTTCCTAGGCATGGGAAGGTTATACAGGGGGATTGCTTTGTTAACTCACTCCAGCACCCACATCCAGCTTCTTACAGTCCATGGTCGCTAGCTGTCACTCTTTTTTTTTTTTTTTTCACTTTGGTTTTTTGAGATAGTATCTCCCTCTGTTTCCCAGGCTGGCCTGTAACTCTTATGTTGCCCAGCAGGCCTTGAACTATTGATCTTCCTGCCTCACAACTCTGAGTTCTAGGGTTACCATGCACCACGGTAGCACCTTGTTTATTTAGCCTTCACTCCAGACTGAAACAGTGGCCTGCATGGAACACATGAGGATGTGGACAGGACTTGCTCCTTCTTGTCCTGGGAGTGCAACTCGTCAGTGAAGCTCCCCTTGACCTCCCCATGCAGAGAGAACGCCTCACTCCTACCTGTCACCCTCTCCGCCTGTTTCTATCACATCTTCACAGCACCTACCATCAAAAGTCATCACATATCCACCCCATTGCACACCTCTCCCAATGGAAAGGCAAGTACCATAAGAGCCTTGGCTGAGATGCACACAGCTACACCCCGGAAGCAAGAAGACTGTCTGGAATAAGCCTGCACACAATGCACAGCTGTTGGATGAATGTGTGTCCCAGGGGCACCAAATGACATCTCCCAGGGGCTACACCAATCACGGGCTAGGAAAAAGCCAAACAGAAAGGAAGGGCCAAAGAAGAGAGAACAAGAGAGTAAAAAGTTAAGTTTGATACTTGGCAGACTAGCCCTGGACCACAAGACTGAAGGAGACGATCTAAGAAAGCCCTAGGATGGGGCTGGAGAGATGGCTCAGTGGTTAAGAGCACCTACTGCTCTTCCAGAAGTCCTGAGTTCAATTCCCAGCAACCACATGGTGGCTCACAACCACTTGTAATGAGATCTGGTGCCCTCTTCTGGCCTGCAGGGACACATGCAGGCAGAATACTGTAAACATAATAAATAAATAAATCTTAAAAAAAAAAGATAAAAAAAAAAAAAAAAGAAAGCCCTAGGAGAACCCATGAGCCACACAGGCCTTATTCCTCACAAGTCTAAATTTGCCTCACAAAGCATAAAAGGTAGAAAAGAAATCTACTTTCTGAAGGTTCTGATCCAAGCATTACAGCACTTAGCTATGGAAGTAGGTCGTTCCCGCACTCCAGTTTGCATAGGCAGATCCTTGGAAAACTGTAGTATGACTCACACCGAAGGATGTTGCCCAAGTCTTACAGTGTGTGCACCTACAGATGAAAGGCGATGCTTCAAGCCAGAGTACAAGTGCCTCGGGACCCTAATTTCTCCTGGTACCATTACGAGAGAAGGCAGAGAAAAATGGGGTGGAGAGAGCATTGGGAGGTGGACACTAGCAGAAAGGGAAAGGATGGTGGACCCTAACATCCCGAGGGGGAAAAAATGTGAGCTGAAACAGTGGCGTCCTGGGTTCTGTAAGCTGTGCCTGGCAGAGAGCCTAGAGCAAATAACAGGTCTTTTGAAGGAGCGATCTTCCAATGGATCACTTTGAGACTGAGAAAATGCCTTAAGGAAGTAGGTTTAGGAATATTTGGGTTTTGAGTTTTGAACCTGGAGGCCACTTATTCAACATTACCAAGCAATTAGTATAATAGGCATATACCCCAAGCTGCAGACGTAGAAAATGCACAACAGAATACTAGAGGAAGCCTGTGGCTGGGAGTCTCATTAAGAATAAAATCCTAACAACAGATTAATTATGTTTGCTCCCACGGGGGGAAAACCTAGACACGTCTGTCTTCTTAACAACCCTATTTATGCATAACTTTTTTTAAAAACTCATTACACTTCTGTCTCTCGCTCTCAAGAAGAGGTTTTCCTGCTCATTTCCTGCTGCTCATTTTCTTAGCAGTTATTCCCTGTAGGATTAGTTAACCAATAATCCCCCAGGCTCAGAACTTGTTCATCATTTCAGATGTTAAAAGCTTACTTGGAACATCTTTCTTACTTAGGATGCCTCATCCAAACTAAGCCAATTTAAGTCAGAATGGAACCATTCTATGGGAAAGAATGCTAGTCAGCAGAGCCATTCCGACCGGAAAGCAAAGGATGAAAGTGTCTGCATTAAGATAAGAGTGACTGACAGTATGTGAGAACTGGACTGAAGGTAACTAGTACCTTCATCTCCTCACCCTATGAGGCTGGAAGTGTCGCTCGGTGGTCAGCACACTTGTCTAGCATTCAAAAAGCTCTGGGTTCAATCCTCAACACCATGTCACACCTTGTCATCCCAGCACCCAGAAGGTAGAAGCAGAGGCGTCAAAGTCATCCTCAGCTACATATTGAGGTCAAGGCCAAACGGAGCTATTTGAGATGTTACCTCAAAACGAGCCAAAAAAAAATCTCTCCTCCTTCTGTGGGTAAATTGACGTAAGTGCTTAATATTTTAAGGGGAAACCAGCTGCTTCGTAGAGAGCATTCTTACAAATTGTATCTTTCTACCCAGTGGCCTGGGGTCGGACGGCAAGGCACAGGTATAAGTGAACGTACAAGGGATCTTCCAACTAATGAGCATGAAGCTGGCAGAGACCTGGGCCAGAACGGAGACCTAGTGACTCTTACCTGTTCACTCCTCGATACCTTCGTGCATGAATCCAGAAACTGCAGCTTCACGAGCGGCTTGGCTGTCTCACCAAACCAAGTGACTGACCCCAGTGGTGAGGGGTTTTGTTTTGTGTTTTTTTTTTTTTAAGTCACTCTGTTTTTAGACACGCAAACAAAGGGAAGGAATGAACAGCGAACAGTGCCAGGTGGGATGACAGGAGAAAATTGCACTGTAGCCACATCACAGAAAGTGACAGAAAAGGGGTAGGCAGGGATGGTGGCGTTCTCACTGTCACTTGATCTAAGAGATAGAAAGTACAAGATCAGAGCACCTGAGCTGTCAAGGAACAATAGTCTCCCGGAGGCGCCGCCTTCTCTAACAAAGCAGTCATTTTATAATCGGGCCACAGCCAGGGAACAAGAGGCAGGAAGGATCAGGGATGAGACCGAGAGGGCAGTCCTAGGAAAGGGTACTCACTCTTCCAGGAAGTGCTGCTGGGGTCCGATGATGGAGCCTGGTCGGCAAATTCTGATCCAAGCAATGATTTCAGCGTGTGTGAACCTGTAGTGTTTCATGACGTAACAGGCTATCAATGTCCCTGTTCTTCCCAGACCAGCTGTAAGGAAGGGAAACAGAAGAAATGTGAAGTGTAGCAACCGTACCCCGAAGGACAGGGGAATGACCCGGTCCATAGCCTGGATTCGATCGAGCACAGTGACATAGCAGTGGCTGATGAGCATTCCATTTCTCTCGTAAAAAATACACATTTTTTTCCCCACCAGGCGGTGCTAGCACACCCCTTTAATCCCAGCACTCAGGAGGCAGAGGCAGTCGGATCTCTGTGAGTTCAAGGTCAGCCTGGTCTACAGAGTGAGTTCCAGGACAACCAGAATGACACAGAGAAACCCTGTCTTGAAAAACTAATGTGTGTGAAACCCTGCCTTGAAAAACTAATGTGTGTGTGTGTGTGTGTGTGTGTGTGTGTGTGTGTGCGTGTGCGTGTGCGTGTGCGTGTGCGTGTGCGTGTGTGTGTGTGTGTGTGTGTGTACATTTTTCAGGCTGGAGATGTTGTTTTATGGCAAAGTATCTACCAAGCATGCACAACACCCCTGGTTCAATTTCCAGTACCAAAGAAAAGGGAAAAAAACAACACAAAACACCACCTTCATTTTTCTTTAAGCAATGGAAAGTGCAAGATGAAGCTGCCCTACATTTTAGGGTAAGAAAATGACATGATAGAAACGAGTGGATCTGGCTGGGAGGGAGAGGTGGGCAGAAGGAAAACTGAAAAGAGGCAGGGATGCAAAGATGGCCGAGAGGAGCTGGGATACAGCCGTAAGGAACAAGGGATGGACGAGAAAGACGTGTCGGTTGGGTCACAGTGAGTTTCAAAATCAATACAATTTCTAACCATGAAGTTCATCCCTGAAAACATTTCATTAGAAAAGGAAATCGGAAAACACGGTGTGGCAGCACACGCTTGTAATCCCAGAATGGAGGAGGCAGAGGCAGGAGGATCAGGAGGGTCCAGGCCACCCTGGGATAAACAGTGAGATCCGATCAGAAAGAAAGAGGCAGGAAGAAGCGGGGAGAGAGGAAGAGAGAGGGGGACCCAGAATCTAGTTAACAGCTTTGTGCATGAATAGTCCAGGGCTGGGGCTGTAATGCAGTGGTGGAGAGTTTGTTTCGCATGAATGAGGTCCTAGGATCAATCCCCGGGGGCTGCGATAAATAAACAAAACCACTGACTTCAAGAAAAAGAAACAAAATATTGCATTTGCAAGGACCCCTCTGTCTGCTTGGTCAAATAATGGAGATAACCTAATCTCCCAGCATCATGAAATGCACAGTAATCAACATTAAACAGCCATAACAGTCCAATGGTGCAATATACACTATTGCTTATCAAATTTTAAACCCAATGTAATTCAAGAAGTGTTAAAATGTAGAAAATGAATGTCATTAAATCAGTTTTCTATAGTTACCTTAATTAAGTTACATTTACTCATCTGTGGTGTGTGTGTGTGTGTGTGTGTGTGTGTGTGTGTGTGTGTGTGTGTATATATATATATATATATATATATATGGGGGATGGGTGTGTGTGTGTGTGTGTGTGTGCATGTAGAGATCAGACAGCAGTTTTCTAGATTCTGCTATCTCCTCCACCATGTGGATCCCAGGAACCAAACTCAGGTGGACAGGCCTGACCACAAGCGCCTCTGCCTGCTGAGCCATCTGGCCTTTTCTTATATTACTGCTTCCCAGAAGCATCTATAGACACTTTATTTCTAATCACCCACCATGAAATTGCAGTGCTCTGGGCACCTACACCCTGCTTGTAGATCTGTACTTTGTGCAGGGAAAAAAACACAAAGGATTTTACCCAACACACGCAGTTTACCCCCTTGATAGCAATACTGCCTAGACTGCACATCAAACGCAAAAATGAAGGGACAAAGGATAGTCACGTCCGTGCCCTTAGCTGCCCGCTGCTCCCTTCCCATTCCCCTCTCCGTTTTACAAAGCATGCATACACTGTTATGAGATGAGGTATGTGTATATGCCCTATTTACCTCAAGCACCCTTTTGTCCCAGATCAAACATCAACATCAATGAGAGGGTAAAATTAACCACAGTCCCACTGGACTCTCGCTTTAGTGTGGGGAAACCGGTGAGACTCGTTCTCCGGAGAGCTGGCAAGGCTAGTGTAACTAACTGCATGGAGGCAATGCAGCTGAGCATGCATGGTGGAGCAGGCGCCCAAGCCAGCGGCTCTCTGGGGTTTCCAGTTTGGGTCCCTGTCTAGAGAGAGAGCAGGTGGGCTTCTTCGTGGAGACTCCCCTCACCGCTCCCAGGCAGGTTCCTAATCCTACTCACACCCGAAAGGTGGGGCTGCGAATTTTCAAATTTCTCTGAAACTGAAGTTGCTTCCCCCCTTTCAAAAGGAGTCTATAATTTTAGGTCTATAAAAAGAACCTACTTAGCACTCAATAGTTGGGAGCTCTTACCACGGTGAACAGAATAGGAGTACTTCACCAAGTTTCTATTAAAACTTTAACAAAAATGTTAAAGCATCCTTAATTAAAGGGCTCCCTGGCACAGCCTGACAAGGGTGCAAGGTGCTATTTTTTTATACCAAGTGCTTTAGACTGCCAGTCCCTCTTTCTGATTCCCAACAGGGCATCAATAGGCGCACAACAGAAGGAGAGCATTGCTGTATTTTAGATTAATATTCATGCTGGAAAACGTCTCAGATTCACAGCCATTCCTTTAACGAACCTCGCGTGGACTGCAGACACTGACTTGGGAGTTCCCTACCTTCGCCACAGGGCTGTGTCTAATGCCTCTGTGCAACGCTGTATGTTGACACATGACATTTCCATTCTCTCCAGTCCCCCCTGAGAGTTCATTTACCAAAGGAGAGGAGTCTCACTTCCACCTCCTTTTAGTTCAATTAAAACACCGAGTGCTGCTTGAATTTCCAGAAAATTAAGCTGACTTAATCAGGGCAGATGTCAAAGTAATTAGCAAGCTTAGGTAGCTAAGTACGCCATTAAAAATAAAACATCTGCAATTAAACCAAAGGTGTGAGCCTTATAAAAGAATCCTACTTGTGTGAACGAGTCGGGAGAAAGGAAGAAGCCACCTCATATTTAAGAAACACCACATGTGAATGTGACCTTCCTCTATAAGAACTCACTTCAACACTTTATTAAAGTGATGTTGGAAATATGGGGGGAAAAACACCTCTGTGATAGGAAAAAAAATGTGTGTACATTTCTTAAGAGGTAAACATTCACAGGTAAGTGATATACAGAGAAAGCCTGTAACGAGAATATTTAACTGCAGTTTTATTTTCCCAGTATTTCTTAGACATGACATATTATCAAGAGAGGCACTACATTTAAATGAAAGCTTTGTCTGGAAGACGACGCTATTTCCTTGGAATCATCCACCACCTCTGGCTCTTACAATCTTTCCACCTCCACTTCCACTTAGATCCCTGAGCCTTGGTGTGTGTGTGTGTGTGTGTGTGTGTGTGTGTGTGTGTGTATATGTTGGGGTGGGGGGGATTAAAAAGGCATCCCATTTAGGACCGAGTGCTCCAAAGCATCTCACCCACTGCACATTATGCTCTTGGGGAATCTCTATTAATCCCCATCTACTCCAAGAACAATACTGACACACATGTGAGCTCACAGAGCCGGGCCAGCAGTCACAAGACCCGCACAGGTTCAAGCCAGAAAGGGTCCCAGCACTGAGAGGGGGAAGAGAACACAGGGGTCCCACCCCTAACCAAGAAGCTATTTGCAATTAATATCTCTCCTCCGCCCCTGACAAAAGGAAAATCAGTGTTCCCCAGTGGACTCTCACCGTATATATTATCCGTGCCTCAGGACAGATCCCATACCCAGAAGTAGTTGGTCATGTTTTTATGGAGTTAGGGAGCTTTTGTTTCATTGTATTAGGTTTGAGCATTTTTTGTCTTTTTGGATTTTTGGTATTATTGTTTTGATTTTCATTTTTTGTTTTCTTATTGTTTTGAGAGAGAAACAGAACATGAAGTTGGGTGGGTAGGGAAGTGGGAAGGATAGGGAAGGAGTCCAGGAGGGGGAAAACATGATAAAAATATTGTATGAAAAGATTTTAAATAAAAAAAATGAAAGCTTTGTCTTTTTCTCCCTTGAATTTGTTGATCCAAAATATGGCTTATAAACACACAGATAAACACATGCCCTTGTAATAGTAAAACAAACGGCCTAGGGAAAAGACCAAATTAAAATCTTGTGGGAAAAATGCTGATATATATGTATATAACTGAACTTTGAAAGAGACGATAGGAGCATCTCCTACTAAACCTTCACAGCCACGATCCACAAGCCCTTGGGTGCTGCTGACACATGAAATACACAAAAGTCTGGCCTTGTCTTGTATCTGAGCAAGCTTTAACAACATGAGAACACTATGTTACCAGGTGTAGGGTCAGAGGCTGGACCCCAACAGCTGACACACACACACACACACACACACACACACACACACACACACACACACACACATGAGCCAGGTTCAGTCACCCATCCACAGTGGTCTAATTAAAGATCCATCTGAGAGTAGAGTCAGAAATGGAGATTCATTCAACACGCTTCAGTGGGGAGAGGAACAAAGGGGTCCAGTGACCCCTTAAGACTGGCAAAGTGATCCTGATCGGACAAGTTGTCAACTGATGTCACACACACACACACACACACACACACACACACACACACACACACACACACACACACACA